AGATCTTCCGTTCGGTGAAGGACCTGGCTTCTCTTTCTAATTAACCTGCTCTTAAGAGACCTGGTTTTATTTGCCATTTAATTGGCTGCATTCTCCTCCGGAGGGTGCCTCTTTTTCCTTCATTACCACAGAGTAGTTACCCTTGGATAAAGTTAGTGGGTAAATTCTTGTAATCGCTGTTTTTGAGGGGCGTAGAAGTTTGATGGGGGAGGAGGATGAGGATGCAGTCGGGGTGGGACTGGTGGTCTCGGATGGAGACGCGTTGCAGGGGGAGGGGGGGTGCTTTGCAATCCTGCCGCCATCTCACCTGCCTCTTGCTGGCTTTGTGAACAGGTGCGTCCTCGGGAACACTACAATTCTGGCTGAGTTTGCCAGCGAAGAGGAGATTAGCCGCTTCTTTGCACAAGGCCCGTCTCTGACCCCAACCCCCACCTGGCAATCTCTGGGCACCAGCCAGACCCGCCTGGGGAGCATGGACAGCCCCCACGCGTTCTCCAACCGCAGTGACCTGACCCCTCCCTGGAGCGGTCCTGGGCTTTCAGGAACAAGCAGTGGGGAACTCCATGGCAACTCCCTTTGGGGCAGCCCCAACTATTCCACCAGCCTCTGGGGCTCCCTGGGCGGCAACGACACCAGGGGCCTTGGCAGCCCCTCCCCGCTCAATGCATTTCTCTCCGTTGACCACCTGGGAGCCGGGGGGGAGTCCATGTGACCTTGTTTCAGGGGGAAAAACTGTGACCTCAAAGCAGCACTAAATTTGGATTCCCCCCACCTCCCCTGCAGCCTCTAGGGGTCAACTGTGGAAATGGTTACGTCGTGCACATTTTTCCTCTTTGTGTTAGCCCAAAACATACCATTTTGAATACTTGAATCATGCAGGCCAATTTTATAATGTGAAAAGTGAAAAGATTTACATTTCCAGGTAGTACATTGCATAATTCAGCAGTTTCCTACAAAAGATCAGTTTACTTTTCTTGTTTTCCTTGATTTTTCCCCCCCCCTTTGGCAACTTGCTGAAAATGTTGGAGTTTGAGCTTTTTAAGCTTTGCACAGACTTGGTCCTTCTCCCTGCTCTACCATGTCTGAGTGGTAGCGGCAGCAGCCCCTACCACCCCCCCGGGCAACGTTCTGGGGAGGGCAAGGGTGGTGGTGCCCGCTTTGGGTTTCCCCGATGCCCCTGCGGGTCTGTCCGCCTGGCTCCTCGGCACCTGGTGGCCGTCCATGGTGCCAAACAGTTGGGGAGGAGAAGACCCTGCCAGGATGATGGATGAAAATGTGTTGCACCTGCCGGCTCCTGTGGAATCGGACGGACGGAGCTTGGCAGCTCCCGAAGCTGCACGCCCGGCTGCGCGCCTGGTTGGCGCCCTGCACTTTCATGAGGCGTTTGGGTTTTGTCTTTTATTTGGGGGGCTCCTGTTGGGGCACTGCCTTGTTTACAGAAGTTTTTTCTTTCTCTTTTTTTTAAAGAAACAAATGTTTACTCTTCCATCACTTAACTATTTTTTAAAAAAAGCAAAAGATGTGGATGATAAAGATGCTTCCTCTTGATCTCTGGGAATCACGGGCCGTGTGCGGCCACGTTCCATTTGTTTTTTTCTAACCCCTCCCCCTCCCGATCCAAGAGCCTGGCTCTCAGGAAAACGAAGGTCCCCAGTAGAACTACTCCTAGTTTCTTATAGGAAAAATAACTTTTAGCACTGATTATTACTTGCTCGGTAAAATGACTTCTGCCAAAAATTGCTTTGATTCGCTGGAGTTTGACATTCTGTGCTTTCCGATGCTGTCTTTTTAATAGGGGGGAAGGGGGGGCTTGGTTGGTAAACTGTAGTCCCCTCTTTTCGTAAAGCCCCCCCCCGCTCCCACTTTCCCGCCCCCCCCACCCCCCTTGTGCCATTGATGCTTTTCTTGCTCTTGTGACTGTGTTTCATGTTTAACCTTAAAGCTGAAGTAACTATGCAGACTGTAACCAAGGATTTGGAATTACAGAACTTTGTTGTATAAATTTTAAATGTTTAAAAGTTCCTGCAAATACTT